AGCAGACAGATGCTCAGGGTGTGACCTGCATGCTTGTCTGCTGTTGCTGGTGTCCAGGTTGTGAGCTATAGTAGCAGGGCATTTTGAGGCACACAGGATTCCAGGGCAGGCAGTGACAACCCCTCACTGGTCTGGATTGCACCCCTACAACGTGACAGGAAATAAATTAGAATGCAGAATTTTCCCCACCCATTGCTTGGGTTACTTAGACATGGGCAAAACATTTGAGAATATACTTTAGGGAACAGCCTTGTATTGGCCCTGATTTAATTTATGAGAGATGGAAAAGTCAGTCCTGTTTTCTAGCAAAAACCAACCTCTACAAACCCTTAGTTTCATAAGTCACCATTTCTGATGTAACTAATTGATCAGGGGACTGATACTAGAGTGTGGGAAAACAGTAGTGGTGGTGAGGTTCATACATGGAAGGGAAAGAGACATACCTGAACAAGTGTCAGCACTGTTCTCCATGCCTATCCAGCTAGAAATGCTGCGCCACACCCCTCAGAGAGGCCTGTGCCTTGATGCCAGAGCAGCATGTAAGAGCTACTGAACCACAGATATCCTGTGGAGACAGAGATACCCAGAGATCTTGTCCCCTGACATCAGCCACATGAACAGGGGTTGCTGAGCCAGCAACTCTGGTCCTTTACTGAAGAGCAGCATGCTAGATATTCTTAGCTGGTAACTTCACAGTGGCTTGTTCCTCGAGATCAGGTTGGCAAGATATAGACACTAAGCCAGTAAGCCTCAAAGACTTGTGCCTTGAATTCATCCCAGAAAGCTAAATGTAGAAAGCTCGCTCATGAGAAGGAGAAGGGCAACTCCACAACCAAGGGGGAAGAAATATGTCTGCTCTTCTTGAGTTGTTACTGTCTTCTTTGCTCTGCCAGTGACTCCATCCTCATTTGCCTACCTGACAGCTCTTCACAAAAACCTCTCTCATCTCCCACCCTGCCCCGGCATACGGAATGCTCTCCCTGGACTGATTTGTAACCCTCACTTCGAGGCCCACCTCTACCAGAAGGTCTAGAAGAGATTTGCTGACATGCACTTGAAAAATTAGCGCTGTAGCCTCCACCTGCAGATAGTGCTGACATGCATTATTATTTCCAGATTACTACTAATGAACACTTACCTCTGTTGAGCATCACATGGGTCCTCTCTGCGATCCATAGACTGATTATCACAGGGCACCATCCTCAAGCACTTCACTTTGCAGCCCGGTTGGTGCTTAAAATCATTTACTCAGACTCAGCAATTGAGAACAAGATGCCCCCTTTGTAGGGTCTTGTTTACTAACTCCTTTTACCAAGTGCAAACCTATCTCATTAGTCCCTCAAGTCCAACCCGTCTCCTGGTCTGGAGCCAATCCCAACAAGCATCTTCTCTGAGCACCCTCCTCCCCAAGCAAGGTTATAGTTTTAAACAAACTCACACTCCTCAAATAAGGATACCACTCCTCCCTTACTGGAGCAGAGTAGTGTTTCAGGCTAGCTATAAACCTTAGTCAGCTTATCCAACCCTGCTCCCTTGGTTCCCTTTAAATCAGTCCCGTCACCTGCTGGCTTAGGGGAGATTCACAGGCAGTAATCGCAGCCGCCTTCTGCTGCTACTGCCTTCTCTGGGAGCTCCTCTCCTTAGGAGCCTTCCATCTCTAAAATCAACCTTCTTGGGCAGAGTTCTGGTAGCTTCTTACCAGCTCCAGGTGATTGTTATTTCGTTGCCTGGCTAGCAGCTAATTGCTTATAGGAGGGCTGAGATGGGCTCATTCTCCTTAAAGAAGCCCTTCACAGGTTAAGTGGGCCCTGACTCCCTTCAGGTTAACCACCCCATGACAATGACCTTATGCAACAGTGTAGGTACACAGCTTTACTTCCTTTACTGAGCCCTGTGGGCATTTCTATATGGAAGCCTTCCGTATAGGTGCCAAGGAAACCATGAATGCTAGTTCTCTAGCTCTCTGCACGTCTTCCACCCCTGCTCAGCAGCCTGTGGGCACTGAGCTCTTAAAATCATCACTCACCTGCATTTTTCTGATATGCTGTAATAACAGGTTAAGCTGGGACTGAGTAACAGGCATAACCAGCGAGACAAAGCATTAGCACGAGCAGAGTTCTCAGCATTAATTAGGAAAGGAAATAAATGGAGTGACAGAATTAAAGCAGAACCTCAGCACGAATGACCCAATTCCCGTCTTTGTGCTGGAGCACACAGCAGGCCACGAAGAAACAGGTTTTCTTCAAAGTTCATTCAACACTGAGCTGGAATAGAAAAGGCAAATTCCTTTACAGGCTAGCCACCACAGCTCTGATTCCCACCTTCCTGGATTCTAGTAAAGATACAGGACTACAGTTTCAAAAATGTGCATCTCTGTGGCAAACGCATCCCCCTGCACACATGCCCACCAGTACTGGTATAAAAAAGTGTAAGAGGTTACCATTTCCTGATGGCTAGTTGACACGTGGCTGCATGCACAATTCACTGCAGGCCCACATTTTGAAAATGTATGCTAACCTTTTCAATCCTAACTGCCTACAGTGAAATATCTAAGTTGTCTAAAGGCATCTAATGAAAAGTGGCTTGATATGCAGAGATACTGAGCAGTTATGGATCCCAGTGATTTTAGTGAGAGTTTTGGGTGATCACTGCCACTAAAAATTCAGTCATTTTTATTTCAGTGCCTGCTTATGGATTTCAGTGCCTAGCTTTAAACACGTTAGTTTTAGAAAACAGTGAGAAGCATCTAAAACGCAGGTTGATTATCTATATGTAACTCAAGCTCCTGGGCTTTGAAATCTCATGAGAAAGCTCCTGAGATTTCCACTCACAGTACATGTTGCAGTGTCTTTGACACAAACTGAGTCCCAAACCGCTTTGCACTTTTGTTTTCTGGTTTCATAGTTTACTAAGCTCGGGTTATTCTGATGTTTTCTCCTTTTACGTTGTGAATCTTGTGGCCTCAATAAATAGAACTAATCTGCACAGATAGGACCAAACTGATTCTTGAGTGGATGTAAGCAGATGCAATGCCACTAGAGTTGTTTCCTGGCATTGTATCAGCAGTGAAAATGAGCCATATTTCTTGGCTGCTTAGATTCATGCTCACATGAACTGGCTCCCAACTTACTGTCCGCTTATCGCTGCAGGATGGTATTGGGCAGTGATGGGTTTATACAAGCAACCCAACAAGGGTCATGTTTTTGCAAGCCCCCTCCGTGGGCTGGATGGGCTCTTTAAACTTTAGCGTACATCTGCGCCATATTAAGCATCCCTGAGCAGGGTACGAAAGGGAGAGCTCTCATAGGTTTTGCTGGCAATAACCAAGAGACTCACTGGCAGCAGATAGCTGGAAAACCCTTGAAAGCCACATCTGTTGTTGAAATACAGTAGGCTCCAGGCGCTCCATGTGCCAGCTAATCCCTGGCAGACAATGGCACCTGGATGAACTGAACCACACCCAATAGGATCCAGGAGAGCTCATTAATAAAGCAAGTTGTGTAATTGTCCAAAGAAATGGTTATTTGCAGCTTGGGCTCATGCTATTTCGTCTAACAAAAGGGCGTGTGAAGCCCCATATACACGTGGCACAGGCAGCAACATCATGTGACTTTTGGGGGCAGATGCTCATCTGGTGTAAATTGTCACAGCTCCCTTTGAGTCAACACAGTGATGACAATTTACACCAGGTGAGGCTCTTAGTACTCCAGGCAAGATTAGAGAGCGGAATGCAACTCATAGACCTGCTCCCACCCGGTGTCAATGCACAGATGAGCCAGTCAGGCCATCTGGGACACCTGCTGGAAGAGAGCAGGAAGGCACCTGACAAAACCACATCTCCCTATGTGATCGAACTGCTACAAGGGGTAAGTCAGTCATCCTCTGTGCTGTGACAACAGTATTGTTGTCTCTGGGAGGGTTATTCTGAAACCCACGCTCTGAGCACCCTCCTCCACAGGAGGAATGTGGGGAAGACAGAGGACAGCTTGCTCCATGGCTGTGGTGACTTAAGTTACATTTCTACAGGTCTAAACAACTGTTTGACCTGGAAACAGGATATGCCTCCTGGGGAACTGTGCTGGATGTAGCATACTTTTCTCCTGGACAGGGGGTGAGGAGAAGCTAAGGGTGTGTCTGCACTGCAATTAAAGGTGTGACTACAGTCCACAACGACATACCTGAGCTAGCTTTGGTCAAGCTAGTTTGAATAATAATAGCAGAGAAGTCAGTGCAGCATGGACTACCTAGTCTGCTGTCTCCCTTGATACCTTTGAGGAGCAGTAGGTGCTGTCCGGGGTTTCCTGCTTCCTTATTAGCGGTCCCCCAAAATCATTTGGGCCCCGGGTTTAGTGGCTCTTCCCCTTAAGCTGGGGGGAGGGGCCTTTTGATGTGGGTGGACTTGCACCCGCCCACCTCCCCTCAACTCAACAGGTATGTAGCCAGGACGGCAGGTGCGGTGGTACAGCTTCTGTTACCTGAACTAGCTCTCTCAAAGCTGGCTACAATCTCTTCTCCTCCCCCAAAGGGACTAAGTATGTTGGTTTTCCAGCACTCTTGGGCTCCGATTCCCAGTGCAAGTAGATGTACTAGGGCTAGTTCCCATCGGGCTAGCATGCTAAAAATAGGAGCGTAGCCACAGCAGCATGGGCGGTAGCATGGGTTAGCCTCCATGGGTACAAAACTGGCTGGGCCTTATTGGGATGAACTCAAGGGGGTTCGCCTGCGCCACCGCTCCCTGCTGCCTGGGCGACTGTGGCTACCCTACTATTTTTAGTGCACTAGTTTGATGAGAACTAGTGCAAGAATATGCATGCAAGCTGGGAATCACAGCCCCAGCCCCAGCCCTAGTCTTTGCTAGGCAGCCAGCTTCACACCTAATTTCAGAAAGCACTCGTCTGTTGTTGCGTGTAGATACTCATAGGCTTACAGTGACTCTTATGAACCTATTTCTTCTCCACATTCCCAGCCCACACCCAGAGACCCAAAAGTAATTAAGACTGTTCATTTTATTGTATTTATTGTGGAAACCAGGTGATGTAAAACACTGAACAGGGTTTCGTAAGAGATACGACCAGGTCTAAATGCAATGTTAGTATCACTGAACAACGTCTTTACATGCACGTTTCTAATGTTAGGTCTAAAATTAATGCTGAAGTACATTCTGACGCCGAGAATTAGCTCTACTTTGTACAGTACGCCACATTCAGTCATTTTGATTAGAAAAAGAATGAAGCCACAAGAACATTAGTCAGCATTAGGAGCCCATAAATAGGTTCTAATCTTTTGACAACAGATTTGTGGCCATCTTTCTAATGACGTTTTGGAATGGCCAAGCATTTAAAGTTCACCCCCATCTCTCCATTTATCTTTGGAGTCAAATTCCATTAATTCCTCAGTGGGCTGCCGAGACTTTAACCCTTGATTTTATAGTTGGCTTTGTGTACCACAAGTGGACAGATCCTTCTCTTCCATAGAGGTGCAGTTTTTCAAGATAGCTTCTAAATTTGGGAGTTTCATATAGCATCTTTGAAACCCTTCGTTACTTATAAAGGAAAAAGCTATCGGGAGAACCATCTCAGAATGAAAGGATAAGTTACTGTGTCAGAACTGCTTAGGAGGGTTTGGTAAATAATGGATAATATTCTGTAGCAACACCTGCTAGAGTCTCTGCTGGCAGCATTCCTATGATATACATCATTTGTTCCAGGGTTTGACATTAAATGCCTAATATTTTAAAGGGTGGGGAGGTTTCGTGGGTGTGTTGCAAAACTCCACCAATGTGTGCAAAATGGGCTCTTATGTTTGCAATTACCAGTTTTCTATGCACACAGGTTAGGTTACATGTGCAAACGTGGGTTTCTGCAGGCGCACTGAGCCAGCGTGCATTTCTGCAGGCTCATCCGTTGCACACTCCTTTGATGATCTGGACCCCAAGATCAGTTAGTTGTCTTTCAGCGAGATGCGGGGAATCTCCATCGAGGCCAGCATCCTTGCCCTTAGGCTGCAGAGCGCTCTGCAGCTACCCCAGGGCAGTAATGGACCACATCCAAAGGGGGTGTGAAATAGCTGATTGGCCACATAGTCACAGATACACTAACCTCCACCCTGCTCTTTCCTGAGCCCTTCAACTCCTCTGCTGTGGAGAGAAAGGATGCCACTTCCACACAGGAGCAGAGTTTCACATGGATGCTGGCATCCTGCCCCCATGCAGAGAGGAACACTCCAATGCTGTTGTTTTCTGGACCCTCTATATCCAGGGGATGGAAAAGAATTATTTCAGTCACAATTAGACATTGCCCATTTATGCTAAGATAATGAGTATCTGCTATTGGAGATGCTGCTGTATCACAATAGATTAACACTGATAATTCCTCCATTTACTGTTCTGGGGTTAAGCCAGTGCCTAACGTGACTTTAATGTCATCCTTTGTTAGTATGTACGCAATGTGTGTGTGAGACCCCTCTCCAAAACACACACACACACTCACTCACACTCTCTCTCTCACGTGTTATAAACTTAGTACCATAGGCAAAAATACTTCCTCCCAAGTGAGGCTGGTACTTGTTAAAAGTGTTGCCTTTGTTAAGTCTGCCTGAATGGTAAAGATAGAATTCCAACTCTCCAAACCCGTGACACTACACCCCATATTCATCATAGTAATATTAGGATGTGATTATGGCATAATTATGATGCATTTTGCAGAAGATGGGTCATATAAGGGGTCAACTGAAAAGTTATTTGCACGATATAATTATCATTTGTATGCATGTATCATTTTGGTATCTGAAGTTATGAACATTGATTATGGATCTGTATTTAAATGGGCTTACTCTGGAAAACACCCACAGTCAGCCTTTCGGGTACAACAATGAAGAAGCCAAACAGTGCTAATGGCTCATCAACAAAAAGACAATGGGCAGTTGAATAGCTTAGCCTTCCTATGGACATTTCGGCCAGCCTGTAAGTAATGGCAGCTATGACTCTGCAAGGGCATGTGACCAGACCATGTGACTCTGGACTCCATTTTGGGTGCCTGTATTTTTCCACAAACTGGGCGGGGAACTGCTTTTAGAACAAATGGTTCCTGCCCTATGCTAAAGCTATATAAGGCAGGGAGTGACCTTATCTATTGTTCTTCATTCCCCCACAACTCAACACCTAAGAGAAACTCCCAAGGAAAAGGACTTGGAACAGGGGTGGAGATCCCAAGCTGCAAAGCAAGTGCAGCTTGTGCCTTGAGAATCTGCAAGCCTGCTCATATCATCAGTCAGGGTGAGAAATTGCTAATTCATAGCCAATCTTTCTAGTATTTTAGGCTTAGTCTGTGTTGTTTATTTAGTAGGTAATCTGCTTTTATCTGTTTGCTATCACTTAAAAATCTATCTTTTTGTAGTTAATAAAGTTTTGTGTTTTTAATCTAAACCAGTGTGCCCTTGACTGAAGTGTCTGGGGAAAATCTCAGCTTGGTTTAACACAAGCATATTCCTCTCCACATTGAGCGAGAGGCGAACTGAGTAATAAATTCTTACTGGTAGGGGTTTTGACCAGGGCAGGACCAGTTCTGGGGTCCTAGGCTGGAAAGCTGGGGGTTATTTTGGCTTCAGCCTCTCTATTGGTTCATGCACTGGCTGGCCAAAGCCAGTGTCTGTGCCTGTCTGAATGTTGGTGAGAGTGTAGGACCGGGAGCCGTCTATAGCCTGTCACAGCAGCACGGTGCTGAGAGGGAGCCCAGGCTGGTGAGTCAGAGGGCTCAGTGGTACCCCAGTTCCATGTGGCAGCGCAGGGGGGAACCTGTCGCACCTTCTTTGCCAGGGTCTGACTTAAGATACAGTACAAAACACTGGGGAAAACAGCTGCTTGGAAAAGCAAAGAGGGGAAAAGTAACTAGTCACTGCCTTTCAAAATAACTGATGCTGACTTTTATTTCATTTTGGGTGTTTGATCATCTTCGGCCCAGCTATACTCCTTTGCTTTTTCTTTGAAATGCCTACACTGGTCAAGATGGATAACTAAATTTAGGCTCTTAAATTTATATTGAAGCTTTGTAATAAGTCGCCTGATTTTCAAGACAGCTGAACACCTGCAGCTGCCACTCACTCCCAAGGGATTCAGGAGCTCAGCACTTGGAAATAAGGCCAGCTGCTAACCTGGATAAGGAGAGACTTAGGAGCATAACTTTTGGCACCCATTTTTGAAAAATGTGGCTTCTTTCTAGATCACAAGTACAAATACATTACCTACGAAAACAAAACCAACCAGCGAAAGGTGAGATGTAAAAGACTCGTTCAGATCTCAGTGGCTTTCCAAACTCTGAACTGAAATATCAGGTGGCACACTACTATCCTTATTCCTAAACTCAAGGGGCTGGATGGCCTTGCACTGTGTGTACTCATTTACACATGTGCAAAGAGGGTGTAAAACACCCATTCTGACTGGGTGGCACTTGGCACTCGCTTTGCAAAGGTGTAGATGGTTACACAAGGAGAAAGGCAGTGGAGACTCAAGTCCAATATATTGATAGTGCTTGTACTTTTTATACATACCTTGGTATATGGTAAGAAAGAAAAAAGCCCCTCTTTTTAAAAGTCAGAAACAGTTTACAGTACTGTAATATTTCCCCCACATACCGATAATATAAACGTGAACTAATCTTTTTTCTGCGTAGGGAAGAAGTCCATCATTCAGTTATGATTTCAAAGCCATCACCACACCTATATAGATACTTCCATACACAGTATTTTGGTTGCTAGAGAGTTTAGTTTGTTAGTTTACCCCCTTTTGTTACCACACCACGGGCAACAATAAGCACTCTGGTGTTTATACTTTTTTTTATTTTGTCTACACTACTCCTGACTTGTCCGTCTTTTCAACTGACTTTGGATCACCTTCCTCTCACTTATGATTGGAGTTTATTCAATAACTACAAGATTCTGGGGCACTTTTCAACATACCGCTTCTGTTTTTTCACCATGGGCTTGATCCTGCCAAGGTGCTGAGTGGTCTCAACACCAACTGATGTCAAGGAACATTAAGGGTGCTCAGCACCAATCAGTAGATTCTCAGCACCTTGCAAAATTGAGTCCTAAAACAAGGGACTACTGATATTGTGGTCTCTGTTACATTTCCCAATTTAAGGCCAATGGGAAATCAATGGGAGTCTTTCTATTGATCTCTATAGGCTTTGGATCAGGCACTAAATCGGTCGTCATTTATCGTACATTTATAGTTAATGTTGCCGATGACACACAATAATGTAGAATAAATCTCAAAAAGATTAAATATGAAGGCTAGTGAGAACACTAACAACAATAACTTCAGAGAGCACACTCACTTTCCCCACATCCCTAGGACATACTTTGACTTTGGGTTTGTTTCTCAAGACCCATGCGTAACAGGGGTACCAACAACAGATTGAGACTTTTCACCTCCGGTGCTGCCAGTTACTTTTACCAGTTAGGTTTCATGACACAACAGCATTTATATGCATCAGCAAAACAATCAACGTCTAGGAACGTACAATAACCGGGACTATTGCAGATACAGATTCTTTATTTCAGAATAAGCCAAAGGCAAGAATTGCAAAAAATAAAGTGAACCAGTGTGTTCCTGGATACAGGATTTGGGGAGCCCCTAGTAAAGCCCCTATCACTCAATTTCTCCTCCTTTTTGCTCCCTCTCCCTCATTTTTCTCATCCCTTCTCTCCTCTTCTATGATAAGAGGGAAGGAATAGGTGGTTGATCATCCTTCCTTGAGAGAGGGGAGGGTCATATTTCTTTCCACCTGCCACTCATAGGTTGGTTGCCAGAATGAGTCCTGCCCACGTGGTCTTTTCCCAGAGTGGGCTAGCAGAAAGCACACAGATCTTCAATCTATTGGCTCTGCCCAAGCCAATGCAAAGCTAACAGAACCCAGATCAATGACCTCAGACAACAGCAGACTCCACAGATGTTTGGGACTATCCTGCAAATTGCCTGAGTCGGGGGGTTCCCCTTGGCTTTATGTTTCATGGATCCTAAAAACTGGCTCAGGCTCCCAATCTAGAAAAAATATAGTGTTCCTGAGGTCAAGATGGAAACAACTTTTCTATTTCGATGAACTCCACTTATCCCAAATCTATCTGGCCACTTATAACTTTCCAAGAGATACACCAACATGGAACTTGTTCCCTTTCCTCTGACTGGTTTCCACATTTTCTTTTTCCTACAGCAAATTAAATACAAGGGTTGCTTCAATCTGTTACTCTACCTTCTGTTTCGAAACCTGGGGCTTTTCAGACATTTTTACCCATAGGAAAGACATATGTCGTTCAGTTTCACTTTACATGTGGACCTTCTTTTCACCATTCTGTATAGTATTCCTTCATATTATTAACCATTTAACTGCTGCAGTGTGGTTTTGGGTCACAGGGCAAGAGGAGTGCAGGGAGCGTGTGTGAAGGCAAACAGGACTTTTTTCAGTATTTTCTTTCATCCCACCAGGCTGATTACACACTTCTGATTTTGACACCAACATGGCTGAAACCAAGAACAAGTTTTCCCAGCCAGTGGGAGGATGGCTACATAATCATATTCCTTGCTAAGCTCCATGACAGGTCAGTGCTGCCCCAAGCATAAGGTTCCTTTTGTTGATGATGAAATCTCCAGTAGCTCCAACAAGGTTCATTTTAAACATGGTTGTCTAGATAGCTTACGCAGGAGAAAGCTCTAACCTGGCATTTAGTTATCAAGTTGCTTAAATTCTGCCCTAGTAGAGCAAAGTAAAAATATAGACTAGTTTACATGAGCTGTGCTGGTGTTTATTGACTCTTTTGGACACATTATTGCTTGGCTTCAAATGCATTTCAGCAGGCGGTTGTGCCCACGTACAGTTTCACAGACATTTCTGAGATTAGCATTAAACAACGTTTTTAAGGATCATTCTGTTGTCATGCTCTGCTGACCATCTCAGTCTTTCCGCTGATGCCTGAGCAGTCTTTTGGACGCAGCCGCCTGGCAGTCTCACTTTTTTAGTTTCAGTTTATAAATGTATTGGCGATACTTTACTTCGAGAGAGGTTGTTTAGTTGTGATGAGGGATGGATAGGCTAGTGAATGTTACAACTAGAAACAGCTGCAGGGAATTAAGACAGATCTTGCCGATTCCTCATGAAGCAAAACAATTTTTTTACTCAGTTCATCTAAGTGTTCATCCTCCATCATTAAGCGTCAAGCAAATTTTGGTCTAAATTGAGCAAACTGAGCCCAGATTTTCAAAATATTTTTTGGGAGTGGGCTGCAGGATGAAGTCCATGGAACTCTGTAAATATCCATAGCCACAGTTCGCCCCCAGGACACTCTGAATCATACATGTATATGCTCCTATTAACAAGTTCATACAGGGACAATTCAGACTAGAATGAATCACAAAAGTTTATAACACGGGGAATAATAGAGGAAGGGACAAAAGGCTCCTCAATTGACATCACTTCACAGGGCATCAGGCATGGCTACAGCTGATGAGGGTGCGAGCAGAATTGAGCTGAAGTCACAAGAACAAACAGCACAAAAGGCTTAAACCTGAACATGAAACAACAACACTGCAGCAAATATTGGGAACTTCTTTGGTGCCAACACAGACACAAACGTGGTAAGAGACGCCAAACTTGTCAACTCGCCTTACCAAACAATACTGCCCACATTTAATTCCACGTAAAAATCCACATGAAATTCACAATGCTAGGAGGGGATAGAAAGAAACAAAAAGTATGTCCTTGACAGACGTACATAGGAAGAATCCCTATATGTGTCAGCCCAAGTTCAGTAGTAAGATTGGAGGCCACTTAAAGTAATGTGACATGACAGGGTGGAGGAATGGAATTAATGTATTGTAAGCCTGAAAATATGCCAAAAGGAAAGTTAAGAATCAATTCAGTACTGAGCTTAGAAATAATAACTTTAATTAAACTAAGCTAAAATATATTATATTATATAAGCTTTATGGGATTTAAGTCCCCTTTGGGGATGAAAAGGGCCCCAAAGTGGACATACCCACAAATTTTGGTTCCATCAATGAAAAGGTAATTACTCAGGGCTGTTTTTGAGAAGAGCATTGCAGTACATTTACATTTGGGAAGTATAACACGATCTACAGTATAAGAAGGTATGTGGCATTGCAGACAGGAATAAATGACCATCACCATTCCTGATCAGTCTTTGGTGGAAGCAAAATAATTCCTATTTAACAGTCGTCCTCGGCGGAAGTGCAAAAACCAAAGCGACAAAGCCACACAGTGCTGAAGACAGGATTTTCTACAAATCACATCAATTTCCCCCAAATATCCCACAGACGGTAGTGGACAGTGTAGGAAAATTAGTGGGAAATAAATGCTCAAGCTTGGAGAATATTGCTAATCTTACAAATGTGGAAACATACACTGGAAACACTATTGTATATCACGCTTTTGGGGAAATAGTCACTTTGCTACCATTTATTAGCAGATGCTATTTACTACTACTCTAATATTATAAACACAGTAAAGACTGTCTCAAAGGCTTCTGCTGCTGCATGGTAATGATTTCAAATTTACAATATGAGGGATTATAATGCATGCCATGTAAAACGTGACCTATACACAGGATAATTAAATGGAATGGCCTTAATGAAAGGCAGCAACAGAACTGTGAACCTATTGGAAAAACAAAGATTTAAACAAGAAGTCAGGAAGAAAATCAAGACAGTGTATATACACTAGACAGATGGGCAAATAGATCCAGATGAGCTGCATGGCCTCTTTTAACCTCAAAATATTAGTGTGTGTCATTAAAGACCAAGTCCAAGATTTTCCAAGGTGATTTACACAAGGCAGCTGCTCAGCCCTTTCTGAGAATCAGCTCCCTTTACACTGACTCAAGTTGGGCACCGAGACCCACCAGCTACTTTTGAAAATCTTGGCTAAAATATTGTAGCGCGAGTGATCGTGCACTCTCATTAGCCAGGGGTAAGTCTAGGTAAGCATCATTCCATGTTGCCTGTATGCACACTCCACTTATTGTCAGTGCACACAGCTGAAAAAAAAATTAAATGCCAGTAAAAATCTATTTCTTCCTCTCTCACTTCTTGTTTTGTGCTCAAAAGCCATGTCTGTTTAGGTCACTTCTTCTCCAAATTGACAGTGTCTCAGCTTGGATCTCCACTCTTATCTTCAGGAGTTTTAAATCAAAGGCAGAGTCATCAGACTTCTGTTAAAGGTACTGAGCCTTCCTGTGCTAGCCCCAACATGTAAAATGAAAAGTGGGGGAGGGGTCAAGGAACACCCAAAATAGCATCTGATAAATATGGAAAGCTGCACTCGGAAGCAGATACACCTTTCTTAGTGAGAAAGCTCTTATTCAGGAGAGATATATGACAAAGTACTTAATACCTTTCCTCTCACAGGATGCTACACTCAATATGTATCAGTCATACAACTCACCTGAGGCCTGATCCAAAGCACACTGATGTCACTAGGAATCTTTCCATTGACTTCACGGGTTTTTGCATCAGGCCCTGGGTGAGCCTCAATGCCAAAACTGAAGGTGGGAAAACACTTTCCACTAAAAATGCAGATAACCTACAAAACGTAACAGTGACGCAAGGTAACAGCTTTGCTCTCTAATTGCAATGCATCAGAATTCATGGTTTTTTAATTGGGCTGTTATTTTCAGGGTTAAAAAGGCAGCGGATTGCAGAACCACAGCTTATTACAAATGATGCACTCCTTCTATCATCAGTGTATTAAGATCATGTCAAAGCGGCTTGCTTTGCAGAAAGGCAAACAAACAGCAAGACTAGGATAAGACATCCTGCTGGCTAAAGTCCACTGCCACAGCTAGCTGCTTGAGCCCCAAAACTCAGCCAGGATCAAAATGCAAAAACTTTACAAATCACAAAATAAAACTTAAAAAACAACCACTTTCCCCTCAGGGGACATCCCAATGAAGAGCAGAATAAACCTTTTCTTTTCAGGTTTCAGAGTAGCAGCCGTGTTAGTCTGTATTTGCAAAAAGAAAAGGAGTACTTGTGGAACCTTAGAGACTAGCCACAAGTACTCCTTTTCATTTCTTTTCACTCATTTGGAATGATCCTGCAACTCGGCCTCACCAAACTTCTCACAAGTTATGTGGTCACCCTGAGCGTCTGTAACACACAAGACTATTACCCTGTGATCATTTATACAAAAGGGTCAGATCGTTAAGCTAGTGCAAATGGCAAAGTTTCATTGACTTCAATGGACCTGCTCCAATTTATGCCAGTGGAGTATTTGGGCCCTGAAGTTTGTTATCCTGCATGATTTCAGTATGTGCATTTACATGACGTGAAATAGGTTGCAGTACATGTACATATAGATCATTGTGTTGCACTAGTTATTCTGCACATCACAGTGTAAGTACATGCATGACATGAATTACACTGCACTATGACAAGAGCAGAGCTGTCACCTTGAGTCACCATTGTATTTCGGATAGTAGCCCCGTATTTTGTGGAAAGTACTTGCTACCTTTGAGTTTTGGTATTCAGTTCACTAAGGTCTTGGTTCTGCACTGGTTTGCCACTGCTTATGATGGGTGCGGGATCAGGCCACAACAGTGGTATAAATCATACATTCATAAACAGAATGGGAGTTTTGCTTGAACAGGACTGCAGCACTGGGCCCAGTACCAGATTTTAGTTACAGTCTGTTCTACCTTGAACCATAGCAGAGGATGACTAGAAACATTCCTATCTAGTTCCAATAATGCTGCATGCACAGTATATTGTGTCTGTATATATTAAACTAGACATCTGTTTGAAAGAAACATGGGGCCAAAGCCTTAGAGGGTGTAAGACTGGCATACATCCATTAACTTGGATGAAATTATGCCAATTTCCACCTGCTGTGAATCTGGCTCATGAAGATTGGAGCTGAAATAATTCCAAGTGAATACTTTACTCAACTAATTTAGCCTCCAATGGTATGTCTACACTGCAATTAAAAACCTGCAGCTGGCCTGTGCCTGCTGATTCGGTCCCATGGGGCTCGGGCTAAGGAGTTGTTTAATGGCAGTGTAGATGTTTGGGCTTGGGCTGGAGCCCGGGCTCCAGGACTTGGTGAGGTGGGAGGGTCCCAGAGCTTGGCCTGCAGCCTGAGCCCAAACATCGACACTGTCATTAAACAGTCCCTTAGCCCGAGCCAGTTGGTACGGGCCAACCGCAGTTGTCTAAGTGCACTGTAGACATGCAGCAATAGATCAGGATTTTCTCAGGTTTATTCCAATTGTTTGAATTTGTTCAGCATATAGTTATCTCTTTACTTTATTGATTGATTGCTAACAGTTGGCTGTGAATATTTATTTGGGGCTGTGATGGCTAATTGGGGCTCTTCTCTCTGTCCAGTTGAGCAGCACTTTTAGGATCAAGAGGAAGTGTCTGAAAACGTTACTGAGGCTTTGACTCTCTCAAGGACAGGTAACAGTTTAGGGAGAGGTAACCGGTAAGCGGCAATACCTGGGAAATTTTAGATCAATTTTTTAAACTTTTTTTGTCCTGGATCCCTCAGAGGCCTTTCTGGAGGCATTGTTCCTATACAAGTTAGACCTCTGTAAAATTTACTACCTGGGTGAGGATTTTAAATATATTTTTTTCTCATCGCTACTATAAAAAGTAATGTATGACTGTGCTTGGTCCTACTAGCCAAGGTGCAGTCAGATCTGCATGGCTGGCTGATTTAACTCCTTCCATACCTCGCTTAGTTTTGTCTGGTGGTACCCTCTCCCCTGCAGTGACAAGCCATGTCCAACTGCATATAAAGTTTACTACTTCCGAGTACTCATGCATGTAATTTTAAGATTTGTTACTTACGAGCACTTAGGTGTTCAAGCTTGGAATTCATTTTCCATGAGCATCTGTGTAAAACTCAACTGCATTAATGTTAGTGCAATACAATTAAATTACTTGGAATCTGCAAGTTCATGGCTAAGGGCCCAATGCTGCGAGCCCTCCACAGGAGGCGCTCCCATAGATTCGCAGGACTGGGCAATAATTTATCTGTACATTTGTGGTGAATTCTTCAAGCTCTCCCAGTTTGGAATTCCTACCAACTTGCAGGCTTGAGAGACAATATGGGCTCAAGTCAGTTTTTACATGTTCAGAATCTGAGCCAGTTCTCTCCCCCTGGAGTTTGGAATGAAGATTTACCATCACACTAAAAGGTGACTTGCTACCAGATGCAAGTAATTGTAAGTAGAGAATCTCACATGTTTCAGTGGATGCTAGAATGATCTGAGAGCTCGTATTTGATTTGCTCACCACTCTTCTCTTTGGAAAGAATATGCCTGAAAGCTCTTTTCTTTTAAAATAAACAGAATTCTAAAAGGACTACAGAGCATTCCTCATAATTACTTCTCTACTTCTGAATTTTAATGGCTAGCTCTAGTGAGTCCCCTCATCAACAGTTACATCTTTTATTAGTTAATGCTGGGATTTCCTAAGAAGCCTAATGGTGCTAGGAAACCAAATGTTGTTATATTTCAAGGGGAGATGAACACTTACCTACTTTGGTGTCTTTTGAAAATTCCCCTTTTATATGTTACCACTCAAAGCTTTTAACCCCTTATTCCTTTCATGCACTTAACTCAATGCAGATTTTTTTTAAAGGAATTTGTATTTGTTAGTATTGGAGAGTATGTGTGTGTTTACAGCTATTTAAGGTTAGTTTAATTAAAAAGAACAATCACCACCACACCTTATGCTAGTCCTTGTGATACAACAAAAAATGACTTTTTATAAACACTTATACGATTCTTCTCTCTGCCTCATGTCTTGTCAGGAGATCCCATTCTCACTGCAGTCAGTTGGCAATTTAAAATTGTGCTTTTGCAAAGTGCCTTGCTTTTCATTTGACAGTAGACTGGGTGAGGGTCTACTATGGAAATAACAAAGGGGTGATACCTCATCAAGGGACAATGGAGTGACTATTCTGAAAATTTCCAGTAAGAATTTCCACGGTCACTGCATTATAATCCCAGATAATACAACTGAGCAGTGGGGTTTATTTCCACCTTTGGGGAGAGGGGGTTGTACCTGTGGACACACAAACCCCTATCAGTCTAACACAGAAGAAGGAGCAGGTCGGACACAGCAGTTAGGTCGCCTAAAGTTCTGCAACATGGACTGGAACACATTATGCTGCCTCCCTTTAAGTTTCTTATTTGAAGATGTATCCGAGGAAATCGATTTCCGGTTCTGGGTGCTTTGTGCCTTGATCAGTTTCTCATGTTCTCGTATTTGTCTTTGTAAGTGATTTTGGATAGCGATCCCCAGTGACTCTGGGTCTAGCGAAGCACCATATACCTCCCATGTCATGCCTTGTTCATCCCACACAACATCTCTGACGTGCTTGGATTGCTGCACCTGTACTTTGGCCTCCGTGGCCACAGTGGGCTTTTTCTTCTTTTCCCCAAGATGTGGCAGTCGTGGAGCAGAGGCAGGAACAGCTGTTGGTTCCTTCCTGGTTTCACTGGCCTTGCTAATTTGACATGGTGGAGCTTTTGGGGTCCCCAGCCTATGGGTGTCGTGGGTAGAATTCATATTCAACTCAGGTGTCAATCCAGCTTGCAGACTCGGGCTGCTGGACTTCTTTGCCTGATTAGTTTTTTCCAACATCTTGTCCTGCTCCGTTTTAACCGTACGTGGTGCATATACCTTCGCAGAGCCAGCAGCAGCTCCAGTGCCGATGTTAACTCCTCCTTTAGCCTCAAGCAACATGAACTTTTCTTCCTTCTTTGGCTTTCTCTCGGTTTTGACATTAACCGGACTGATTTGCACTTCATCAACACGCGGGAACTGCCAAGGTTTCCTACCAGTGCTGCTACCAGCTGCGCTGCACAGGGTCTCTGTCTGCTCAGTTCCATAGGGTACACTACCGTGTCCGTGTCCAGGTGACTGGTTACTTTCTGAATCACTGACTTGGTGCAGAAAGTTGTTGCTTGTTTCAGGGACGGCTGTAAATGGAGATGGGTGGGGTTCACCATCTCCAGACTGCTGAGGTGCTGCAGGTTGATTACTGGTGTTAACCGTAATCTGGTACACAGGTTTTGCCTTCAGTAAGACTGCAGCGTCTGATGGCAGTGGAGGAATGTCCGTGCTGTCTCTGGCCAAGCAGGCTCCTTGGGTTTCTGCCCTATCAGCCGGCGTTCCTTGGGTGTTCCCGGCTCCTTGGGGGCATGGACAGGCAGGTGTTATGCTACCTGCCAGCACTGGACAGATGGTGTCAGGTGGGTCTCCTTGATGCTTTTGCAGTTGGGCAGGCTGAGCTTTCACTGGATCCATCGCAGCTGTCAGAGCGTACCCTTCTGGCATGATATCAGGACACCAGGCTGGCTTTTGGAGTGATACAAAGTTGTCAACAAGTTCTGACTGGTTCTGCCCACCACCACTCTGATAAATGATGTGCAACTGCTCCTTTGCCTCTGAAGGAGGATTCCCCTTGAGGAATGCAGCAAGGATACTTGGGCTGGTGGAAGCGGATTTGCTCTCCATACTGGCCACTGCCTGAACCTCAGCATCACGCCATGTCCTGATTACTGCCTCCCGAGTTAAAGATGTGCTCTCAGGCTGGACTGTCATTGTACCTACTTCTCTGAACCTGGAGAGCTGGGGCAGCACTGGTCCTGTTTTCTCTGCCTCGCACAAGGGCTGTGTCCCCTCAAGGCTGGATTGTGGCAAAGCCTTATTGCTCTGCGCAAGTGCAGTCCTAAAAGTGGGACAGGATTTCACATCACTTGCATCCCTTATCTCTGCTTCTGAATAAACCTGCGGCCTGATCCCCAGACAAGGAATAGCTTTGAAGTCCCTCACTGCAGTGGCTGCCGGAGAGAAGCCAGGGTCAGTTATTTCCACTGCTTTCTCTTTTTCCATGTCTATTCTTTGCAGGGTATTTGCCTGAGAAGAATGGTGACAGGACTCACTACCCTTGATAGTGTTGTCTAGGGATGGATAATTTAACTCCTGAAGTTCCGCTGGATCATTCATCCCACAGACCTTCACTGCACAGTCATCAACTTGTGCCAGTGACCTTATCCTTGGTAGGTCGCTTTGTATAAGCTGGTTGGAATTGTGGGTAGTTGGCATCATATCTGTTGCATGTCCAGCTGCAGAGGTTTTTGCTACAACCTGTGTTTGCACTGTGGCGTCACGGCTGCCCGTTTGCTCCGAGTTACTGGCCGACTTGGTACATGCAGGAGGCACTTCTTCAGCTTGGCTGAAGGACCCAGGCAAAAACATGTCTTGCTGGCTAGTATCATCCCCGTAGAGGTGCTCATCCCTTTGGATGTTGGAAACTACAGTACAGTTCAGGTCAAACAAGCAAACTCCAGCAGATTCAGCCTTGGTATAAGAAATGCCATTACTGCTCCTCTCTATGCTTGCTTGTTTGTGCTGGTGCTTAGTGGATTGCGGATCTCCCAGGCAATCTCTCTCTTCAGAAGCGGCAACCAACAAAAGTTGGGAAGACCTCAGAGGATCCGGTACCGTCCCCATGGAATTTCTCTGAGCTGTAGCTTGCAGTCAGCTTCTTCCAGCAATACTCTTGCAGAGGAGTGTTTGTATCAAGGGGAATGTGGTCAGGAACAACTTTCCCTTAGAGCCAATCTGTTAAAGAAGGAAACACAGCGTTAACAGCAATCGGATTTAAGCAGGGAAAATACTTTTTAATATTTAAGGGAGATGTTCAAAGGCACAAAGGGCTGTCAGGCGCTTGACTCGCACTGAGTCAATGGGAGTTGGGCTCCTAACTCCCCTTTGTGCCTTGGAAAATCTCCCCCTAAGTAATTTTTCACTTGCAGAATAAAAAGTATTTGAATTTCAAATATTTTTCCATACAATTATTTCCAAGGTAGGATCGAGAAGCAGAGGTAGCCGTTAGCTACAAATGCATCAAAATCTGCCCTGGTTGTTGACTATTTTATGGAAAAGAATAAGAATGTTGTGCACTGATTTAGTCATGTGATTGACCTTGCACCTAAAGCTATTAAAAAAAAAAAAGGGGGAAGTGGGATCTGGGTGGATGCGTTGTGGAAAATATTCTGCCGTCAGAATTCAATAAATAACGTTAAGTAATGCAAAGCTAGAGATACAAGAACCTGCAGAAAGGAAGTTTGATCCCATGGTGAGGAGGCTAGCCTGGGACATGGGAAATCCAGGTTCAAATTCCTGTTATGCGTCACACTTCCCATGTGACCCTGAGCAAGTCATTAAGTCTCTCTGTGTGCCTTGGTTCCCCATCTGTAAAATGGGGTTAATACTTCTCTAACTTCACCGACTTGTGGAGGACCAATACACTAAAGATTGTGAGGTGCTTTATATTGCAATAGAATTATTGAAGATAGACAGGTCTCTGTGTCAAGTTTCTAGTACCTTCAGACATAGGCGCTGGAGCGCCCACGGAGAAAAATTGGTGGGTGCTCTGCACCCACCGGCAGCTCCCTGCCCTACCCCAGCTCACCTGCGCCTCCACCTCCTCCGTGAGCGTGCCTGCTTTTTTCCCCCTCCCTCCCAGTGCTTGCCGCCGTGGAACAGCTGTTTCGCGTGGCAATTGCTGGGAGGGAGCGGGGAGGAGGGGAAACGCGGTATGCTCAGGGGAGGCGGCGGAGTTTGGGTGGGGACTTTGGGGGAAGGGATTGGAATGGGGGTGGAGCTGGGGGGCACGAGCACCCACCGGCACCATGAGAAGTTGGCGTCTATGCCTTCAGACTAATATTTGTGAAGTAAAACCTGGTTGCTAAAATGAACTGCTGAATGAAATACTGTGGACTAATGTTAAGAAAAACACCAGAACTGATTCTGGCTGTGCTACTGGAAGTACTGTGTATACTTATGTTCATAAAGGAAAACAATTCTGCATTTATAATCTTCTAGAAGCATTCTTGACACAATGTATTAACTGATTTACGAACTACAGGTAGATCCTGTATACACATCTGTTTGCTCACTGCTGAAGAGTAGCCATTTGTCCAGTGAAACATAGCTAAACTCAGTACCACCACAGAACAGGATATCAAGAAGAATACCCTTTCCAGATGAAACAGCAGGGGGGAATTTGAAACAGAGGGAGCAGAATTATCTGAACCTCAGGGTAACTCTCATTTTGAACTCGGAATACATTTTAAAATGTGCTTTTAGAGTGGAATTCTCAAAAGAGCTCAGTGTTGGTCAAAACTTTGCTCTCACTGAATTCACTGGTAACATTCTTATTGACGACAATGGAAGCAGAGCTAGATCAATGGTAGCACTTGGGAAAATCCCTGCCTTGTTCTTTTACGTTGTAGGTTGTCTGTCTCCCCCAGAAGGCTTTCATTTCAAAGCCCCTCCCACATCTCCATTGCCAGTGGAGTGCTAGACTGGGACTCAGGAAACTGGGTTCTATATTTCCATCTCTGTCACTGGCCTGCTAGGTGACCTTGGGCAAGTCATACCACCACTCTGGGACTCAATTTTGCCATCTGTAAAGTGGGGATACTGATACTGATGCCAGCAGTGCCCTTTTCAACAAAAGGTCTCATTCTCCCCTCATTGTACACCAGACTTGCGTGAGTGAAACTCTGCCACTGACTTCAGTAAAACTCCCCCTGAGATGCAGTGCATTGAGAGTGAGAGGAGAAGCAGGCCCCAGGGTTTAATGGAAACTAAATCAAAATGAATACAGCAAACCTAGTTTTGCACACAGGAAAACATGGTGACGCATTACGAATTCATTAACTTGATGTCCTCCAGATATTCATAATTTATCGTTTTAACTCTGTATCTCTAATATGGCGTGCCTTTGGGCTCTACCCAACCAAAAATGTCCAGGGCTAAGCCAGCCCTAAAATACCATGGCTATTGGTCCCACTGGCTATTGAACTTCTTAACAGGAATCTTGCTGCGGTATCCCATACAAATTCACAAACCAAATTGCTCCAAGTACAACTTCTGATGAGCTGAGCAGGAAGTGGGGAGTTTATATAAAATAAGCCAAAAAAACTCCTTGCGTGAGGCCACAAGTCCTCATTTCTCAGTTGACGTAAAGCCAGTAGCCATCACTGTGCACACAATGAAGTTATCCCACCTTTAGACACCAGTAATCGTCCTTCGTGGCTGTGCACTGGGGAATGGGCAGGTTTGGTGGCTCCTGTTCCAATTTTCTTGTTTCCCTCCTCCTTCCCCTTCCAAATATGATCAATATCAAGGGAGTCAGTGGCAGATAAAACTGACATCAACATGGTCCCTGATCTCACGATGGTTGCAGGGGATCTCCAAAACCTTTGTAAAAATCTACATCTCATGACAATAAGTTTCAGCATAAATATCGGATGCAGGTCTGTGTGGGCAACATGGAAATTCCAGGTTTATCTGCATGCAATATTCCCTGGCTGACCTCAGGAACAGATCTGTATGAGACGGAAAGAGCACAGCAAAACTACAACCCAGGACCTTTTACAGCTCTTCTCCAGCTGAGCAGGTGAAGAACCTGCCCTCACATTACACTGATGAGGGCTGGGAGAACTCCCTAGTCTTGCTAAAGGGGAGTCCCCCTGGTGGTGTTCAATGCCTTGATTGCTACAGAGTGTATGTGAGTCTGGCTAGGAGAGTTAGAGACTCTGGAGAGCAGGATTGTGCTCCCTAGGTCTATCAATTGATCTATGAAGCAAGCAAATGTACTTGCCAGCTCCTCTCGCAGACCCAGTGAAAATTAACGAAGAAAAGGCTGGATTTAAGCAGTCCTCCCTCATGATTTGATCATTAGCACACCAGACAGGCTTCACCCATTGGGCTTGATTCTCCTTTGACACTAGAGTAATGGAGTCACAACAGAGTAAAGCTGGTGGAGTCAGATCAGAATCAGGACCACTCCTTTCTGGTCGTCAGAGATTTTGTTAGGTGACTTGCTGGTGGAAGGAAGGAGAGAGAGAAAACTCTTTTCAGTGACAGGCAATGCTTAGATACAAAACTTTGGGGACATGGCATGTTATCGAAAACTAACCTGCTGAGATTTGGATCCCTACTTTTTAAACCTGCCCACTGGAGGCGCTGGGGTCGGGAGGGCCATTCTTTTAGGAACTGCTTTAACCCACACCTTCTTGGGAAAAACTGAGCAAGTCTCACAGCCTGTAAAGCCAGAAGGGACCATCACGATCATCTAGTCTGACCTCATGTACATTTTGTCTATTCCAAAGGAGTTACACTTGGATGTAATATCTCATTTTTTTGACACAGGGCTTCAAAAACGTACCCATCACCTACCGGCTGAAGCAATAAAAGTCTCACTAGTGAGACATGATCCCACAGCCATGGCTTCCAAGAGTCAGGATAAGTTATTTTTTAAAATTGATATAGTATCTAAAAAACGGCAACCAGATATATTACATATACTCCGTTGTTCTCTCTTATCAGGACACGCATTAGGGCGCTTGAGTGGAGCACAAGCTCTGAAATAGGAATCCAGAGAAGAGCAGTGGATGATCAGGGATTCACAAGGAGTTCCCTGTCCCCTGTGTTGTGGAGAGAATAATCTGGTCCCTGGTGTGTTCATATGACTGAATTATTCACTTATTTTTCCCAAATAATTTTCTGAGAGTTTGGTCCATCCTGCCAAATGCTACTGGCAATTCACGCTTCTGTTGGTACTGATCGTAAAATGGCCATAGAAACTGCCCCTTAGTTAATGAGGGATGGACCACACATATGCAGATGCGTACTTCTGGACACTGGAAAGTAAACTCTGTAGAATATTACATAAAATAAAATGTTGGCAGCTTGTATAAATATTTTTGCTTGTTGGGTATACCTCACTTGTAGCTCTTCTGCAGACTTCCACGTGAATTTGAGCTCTTTCCTAACTTGTATAAATATTTCTCATCTCCTAACCCTTATGTATTTGCCTACTGGATGTTCACATACACACACTAGAGGAAACTTGGCAGAAGGATCAGTTTGGTCCACCCCTGTTTTGATGGGTATGTTTGATTCATCCCTGCCAAGAAAGCAGCTTCTAACAAGCTTCTTCATGCCAAGGCAGGTCTATAAGGTTATTTATAATTGGCTTTGTCTGGCCCTCCCACAAGTGTCTTCAGCTACAAACTTCCTTCAAAAAGGTGAGATTCCTTCCTTTCTTTGAAAGCATCAAAGAAATTGCTTCTGAATGAAGCATATAAGCAAGTTCCCAGGCATCTGCAAAAGTGAAGTGCAAATGCATTAGCACCTATAGAAAATGGCACTGGAAAGTTGTTTTTATTCTATTCATTCAAATGACCTGTCAAGTCGTGATCACTAAAACTATACTCCACTGCCTATCCAAGGGATAGCCACTGCAGAGGGACAAGATCCTGCCCTCAGTTACCCCCAGGACGCCTTGTTGACTTCAGTGGGGTAAGAGAACTTAACACAGATGTTTCACTTAACCTCAGAACATTAAATACATTTAATTAGGCTCAGGTTGTGGAGACTTGATTCATGTTTGTGAGCTCTTGTTCATGAGAAGTCAATGAGAATACTCCTGTGAGGAAGTGCCCCCCGAAATGAGTGATGGCTCCACAATCTGGCCCTTTTCTAATAGGCAAGGTTGTCGAACAATACCTTACCCCTCAAGTAACTCTCCGGACATCTGTGGAACT